GTGTAAAACCGGGTGAAGTGAGGGTGTGTTTGGGGACTGAGTTTTATTGAGGTGCGTGCGCGTAGGAGTTGTGGGTGTGTGAGGAGTGTAAAGGGTGTGATTGTGTTCCGTTGGTGTAGATGTGTGTGGAGGATGTGTAAAAGGTGCGTATGATGTGTGTTTCTGTGGGTGAGGGGTGTGTGAGTAGGGTGTGCGGATATATTTCAGAGGTTTTCGTTTGCGATGTGTCTGGTTATGTGAGATGTTCGTCTGTGGAGCAGTGAGTGGATGTGTATGAGATGTGTTTGGGTTGCGTGTGTCGTTGAGGCATGATTGAGTGATTTTGTGCATGTAACCTGTGTCTGAGGGTTTGCAAGTGAAATGTGCGATGGTGTATTTGGGAGCGATGCGTGCGAATTATGTGTGTGTTGAGGTTATTGTGAAGGTATGTGTGGGTGTGTGAGTGTATGTGAGTATGTGTATTTGAGCGTTTGTGCAAGGTGTCTGAGAGTGTGTTTGAGTGTGAGAGGGGTGATTGTCAATGTGTGAGATGTGCGTTACGTGTGTGAGAATGTGTGAGAGTTATGTGCTGTGTGTTTCTGAGGTGTGTGTTTGAGGTGCTTGTCTGGGGATGGGGAAAGCGGGACGTGTGAGGTGTATGTGTGAGGTGCGTGTGGAGTTGTGTGAGAGTGCGCTCGTAGAGTGTGTGAGAGAGTGTGTGAGCATGTAAGATGTTTGATGGTGTATGTGTGAGGTGTGCGTGTATTTGAAGGGTGTGTGCTTCAAGTTGTTTGATTGAGGATCGTGTGTGAGGGATATGCATGTATCTGAGGGTGATTGTGTCAGACAGTGTGCGTGTGAGTGAGGGTTTTTTGGGTGTGAGGGGAGGCGCCACTGGGTTAGAGTGTGAGGTAAAGTGTTCCGGGGCCAAATCTGTCCTGTGTTCGATCAGCAACAAACTGAGGAAGGCCAATAATATAGTCAAACACACCCAGCGCAAAGAAACAAAGTGATTAATCCAATACCTTCTCCTGCAGGAACTGCCGTCAGCTCAGTGTTTTACACACGTCTCCGCGTTTGTTTGATATTACACAGTCATCCTAGGCTGGGGCGACGGCAAACTGTGTGTTACTGTGCACATGCTGGAAGATGTGTGTCGGCTATGCGGGACGCTGTGTACTGGGCTATATTAGCGGCTGTGTGCTGGGATATTTTTGGAGCTATTAGCTGGACAATGCTGGTTATTTTGCGCTGGGGTCTGTGTGCTGGGTTATATTGGCGTCTGTGTGCTGGACTATGCTGCGGGTTGCTTGATGTGATATGATCGGTGTTGTGTGTTGGGCTATGCTCTAAGCTGTGGGATGGGCTTCTTTGTGGTCTGCAGGCTGGGCTATGTTGGGGGCTGTGTGCTAGGCTTTGTTAGGGGCTGTTAGCGAGGCTAAGCTGGTTTCTCTGCGCTGGGCTATGCTGGGGTCTGTGTAGTGGAATATGTTGGGGGCTGCTTGCTGTGATGATGATTGGTGTTGTGCGCTGGGCTACGCCATAGGCTGTGCGCTGGTCTATGCTGGGATCTGTGTGCTGGGCTATGTTGGAGACTGTCTGCTGGGCTATGCTGGGATCTGTGTGCTGGGATGTGCTGGGGTCTGTGTGCTGGCTCTGTTGGGGGATGTGTGTTGGGCTATGTTGGGGGTTGTGTGCTGGGCTTTGGTAGGGGCTGTTAGCTGGGCTATGCTGCTTTCTGTGTGTTGGGCTATGCTGAGTGCTGTGAGATGGACTATGTTGGGTGCTGCTTGATGTGATATGACTGGTGTTGCGTGCTGGGGTATGCTATAGGCTGTGGGATGGGTGACGTTGGAGACTGTGAGCTGGGCTATGTACCGGCTATGTGATGTGATATGATTGGTGTTGTGCTCTGGGCTGTGGGTTGTGATATGGTGGGGGTTTCTCAGCACCGAACAAAATTAATACCATCGAGTTGTCACAACAAACAAGTGATTGAATTTTGCTGGGTTCTTTGAGCTGGAGTCCATTTTGTTGAAATGTTAAAGAGCGATTCAGTCGTCTTTTTTGGGTGAATATTAATTGACGCGTGAGACTACTGGAAGAGGGAAGGAAGTTTCCAGCAACTGAAACGTCGAAATAAAAATTATCATTTTACTTTTTGGGCATTTTACAAATAACAATAGTTGGTGCTGCTCCTGCAAACTAACTTTTTGAGACTGGTGTACAAGGACACCCCAATCCCTCTGAACACTAACACTATCTAATCTCTCCCTCTCTAGAAAATAATCTGTTTTTCTATTTTTACCACCGAGGTGAATAACTTCACATTTCCCCACATTAAATTCCATCTGCCACCGACTCGCCCACTCCCCTCGACTATCTATATCCCTTTGCAATCTTTTTGCATCATCCTCAGAGCTCACTCTCCCACCGAGTTTAGTGTCATCCGCAATTTAGATACGTTACATTCAATGTCCTTGTCCAGGTCATTGATGTAGATTGTAAATAGCTGAGGCCCAAACACTGATCCTGTGGCACTACTCTAGTCACCTCCTGTCAATTCGAGAATGACCCGTTTATTCCTACTCTCTGTCTTCTACCCGTTAGCCACCCGTTATCCATGCTAATATGTTCCCATTAATCCCGTGGGCCTTAACCTTGTGCAATAGTCTTTTGTGTCGCACTTTGTTAAATGCCTTTTTAAAATCTAAATGTACTATATTTCCTGGTTCCCTTCGATTAAACCTGCAGATACATCTTCAAAACACTCTAAAAGATTAACTAAAGATTAGTTAAGCGTGACTTCCCTTTTGTAAAGCCATGTTGACTGCCTCATCTTGTTATGGTCTTCCAGGAATCCCATGACGACATCCTTAATTAAGGACTCAAAAATTTTCCCAACCACTAAAGTCAGACAAACTGGTCTATAGTTCTCCATCTTCTCTCTCCCACCCTTCTTAAATAGTGGTGTCACGTTTGCAATCTTCCAATCAATGGGAACCGTTCCAGAATCCAGAGAATTTTGGAAGATCAAAGACAAGCCATCCAGTATCTCAGTCGCCACCTCTTTTAAAGCCCGAGGATGTAGGCCATCAGGTCCAGGAGATTTATCAGTATTAAGACCTGACAATTTTGACGGTACCTTCAGCTCCCCTCTCGACTCTCTACCCCCTCCTCGCTCCCTCCCTCCCTTCCCTCACCCTGACCATCTCCCCCCTCCTTGCTCCCTCCCTTCCCTCCCCTCACACTGACCATTTCCCCCCTGTTCGGGTCCTGACCTAACTGTACAGCGCCTTGGGACATCCTCCCGACGTGAAAGGCGCTCAATAAATAGAATCTTGTTGTTGTTGTTTACCTAAAACCGTTTCTTTACTAATATTAATTCCCCCAAGTTGCTCGCTAACATTTCCTCCTTGGTTTCCCTCTATTCTTGGTAGGTTTTCAGTGTCTTCTAAGGTGAAGACAGTAGCAAAGTAGTTGTTTAACGACTCTATCTTTGTCCCCTACTATAATTCCCCCCGTCTCTGCCTGTAACGGACCCACATTTACCTTTGACAGTCTCTTACTCTTTATATATTTATAAAAACTCTTGCAGTCTGTCTTCATGTTCTTCGCTGGTTTGCCCTCATATTCCCTTTTCTACCTCCTAATCACTTTTTTGGTCCTTTGTTGATCCCTAAAGTTCTCCCAATCCTCGGGTTTACTGCTCATCTTAGCTGTTTTATAGGCTTCTAACTTTATACTTTCCCTGACTGCTCCAGTTAGCCACGGTTGGGCCACCTTTCCCGTGGCATTCTTATTCCTCAAAGGAATATGTGCTCACTGGGAATTTTGCACTATCTCCTTAAACGTCTGCCATTGCTGGTCTACTGTTAAATCCTTAAGTCTAATTTCCCAGTTTATTTTGGCTAAACCCTCTCTCATACCAGCAAATTGGCTCTACTTAAATTTAAAACCTTTGCTTCAGACTTAACTACTTCTCTCTCGAACTTAATGCTAAATACTATCACATTATCGTGATAGTTCTATCGTGGAGTCCTGTAGCTCAGTGGTTAGAGCACTCGCTTTGCAAGTGAGAGACCTGAGTTCAATTCCAGGCAGAGGGCGAAACCTTGGGCAAGTTTCCTTACTCCACACAGAGCCTAATAATAATTCCTCCAAAACCAAAAACAATAATAAATTGGTCATTTTCAATCTACGACTGTTTGTGGGACATTGCTGTGCGCAATTGGCTGCCGCGTTCGCCCAAAAATATACAGTCAATTCACTTTACAGTCTGTTCTGTGAAGCGCTTTGGGACGTCCTCCCGACGGGAAAAGCGCTATATCAAATGCAAAGATTATTATTATTATTATGATCACTTTGCCCTCGAGGAGTCTTCTTTTCCAGTTTGCTGATCAGCTCTGATTCATTGCACAAAACAAGGTCTAATATGGCCTTTCCCTGGTCTCAGTCTCTCTCTCAGTCTCTCTCTCTCAGTCTCTCTCTCTCTCCAGTCTCTCTCTCTCAGTCTCTCTCTCTCAGTCTCTCTCTCTCTCAGTCTCTCTCTCTCTGTCTCTCTCTCTCTCTCTCTCTCTCTCAGTCTCTCTCTCTCTGTCTCTCTCCCACTCTCAGTCTCTCTCCCACTCTCTCTCTCTCTCTCTCAGTCTCTCTCTCTCTCTCAGTCTCTCTCTCTCTCTCTCTCTCTCTCTCTCAGTCTCTCTCTGACTCTCAGTCTCTCTCTCTCAGTCTCTCTCTCTCTCTCTCTCTCTCTCAGTCTCTCTCTCAGTCTCTCTCTCAGTCTCTCTCTCTCAGTCTCTTTCTCTTTCAGTCTCTCTCTCAGTCTCTCACTCCCTCTCTCTGTGTGTCTCTCTCACTCTCAGTCTCTCTTAGGCTCAGTCTCTCTCACACTCAGTCACTCTCAGTCTCTCCCAGTCTCTCACTCTCAGTCTCTCTTTCTCTCTCACTCTCAGTCTCTCAGTGTCTCAGTCTTTCTCTCCAGACTCTCACGGTGACTGGTTTCACACACTCACATCAGAGCCTTTTCCGATGAATTTATTCAGCTTAATCACAGGTTTAAATCTCCCGTAAATCTCCCTCTACACTGTGCGTCCGTCCACACTCCCAGGTCCGGGTTTAAGACACAGTAGAGTTCCCTCTCTATGATTTCAACTCAGATTTTATAAGCGATTTTAGAAGCAGATTAATTTTTGTCGCAAACTTTCTCTATCCGGAATCTGGGAATAAATCAGAACAAAATGCAATTTAAAATGAATTTTAAAACATTTGGAGTCCTGTAGCTCAGTGGTTAGAGCACTCGCTTTGCAAGCGAGAGACCTGAGTTCAATTCCAGGCAGGTCAGGGCGAAACCTTGGGCAAGTTTCCTTACTCCACACAGAGCCTAATAATAATCCCTCCAAAAACCCAAAACAATAATAAATTGGTCATTTTCAATCTACGACTGTTTGTGGGACATTGCTGTGCGCAATTGGCTGCCGCGTTCGCCCACAAATATACAGTCAATTCACTTTACAGTGTGTTCTGTGAAGCGCTTTGGGACGTCCTTCCGACGTGAAAAGCGCTATATCAAATGCAAGGATTATTATTATTATTATTATTATTATTCACACTCACACCTACACACACACACTCACATTCACACACACTCACAGACACACACAAATTCACACTCACACACATACGCAAACATACACACACACATTCACATTCACACATACACACTCACACATTCACACACACACTCACACTCACATTCACACACACTCACACACACACACAAATTCACACTCACACACATACGCAAACATACACACACATTCACATTCACACATACACACTCACACATTCACACACACACACACATTCACACTCACAGTCATACGCACACATATACACACACAAACACATTCACACACACATACGCAAACACACAGCCACACACTCACACACACATTCACACTCACACATTCACACTCACACACACTCACACACACACGCGCACTCACATACACGCGCAGACACACACTCACACGCACACTCACAAGCTCACACACATAGATACACAGACCCACACACACATTCACACTCACAGGCATACGCACACATATACACACATTCACACACACAAACACATTCACACACACACACATACGCATACATACACTCACACACATTCACACACACTCACACACACATTCACACACACAAACTAGCACACTCAAATACACACACGGACACATACACACACATACACACACACACGCGCGCATATGCAAACACACACACTCACAAACACACATTCACACACACACACGCACACTCACATACACACACACACACATTCACACACACACATACGCAAACACACACACACATACACATACACATTCACACACACCCACACAAACGCAAACATACACACACCCACATTCACACACACACACTCACACGCACACACACTCGCATACACATGCACACAGACACACACACACACAGACACACACAAACATACACTCACACAGACACACACACACACAGACACACACACACACACAAACATCCACAGACACACACACACACAGACAAACACACACACACTCACACACACACAGTGATACAGTTAAAATCTTACCCCGGACACACGTATCTGTATAAACATCTGTTGCAAATCGGTCTACAAACACAGATACAACAGTGACAATCCCTCTCAGTCTCTCTCTCAATTATACACAATTATATTATTATTAATATTGTTATATTATTAACATTATTATTAATATATTAATAATATCAATATTATTATTATTGATAAGTATGTATTATTAATGATTATGATTCATTATTATTAATTATTATCATTGTTATTAATATCATTAATTAAAACAGTATTATTATTAATAAAGTATTAATTAACAGTCAGGTCTATTATTATTAATTATTATTATTTATTGTTAATGTGAATTATTATCAAGAATAGTAACGATATTAACTAAAATCCAGGAATACTATTGATAATAATTATTAGTATTTGTTATTAATGATTATGATTGATTATTATTAATTATTATCACTGTTATTAATATAATTAATTAAAACAGTATTATTATTAATAAAGTACTAATTAACAGTCAGGACTATTATGATTAATCATTATTATTTATAGTTATTGTGAATTCTTATCAAGAATAATAATAATATTATTATTGATTATTTACCGGGTTCGTAATACTCATAAATCTTCACTTTTCCCGGACGAACATTTTCGACCTCGAAAGATTTCTCCAAAATAAAACTTCCTGAAACTCCAACTGCTGAGACCTGGAGAACAGACACACTCACACTTACTGTAGCTCACACCCACTCACACCCACTCTCACACACACTTTCTGAACTCACACCCACTCACACCCAGTCACACTCACACACACACTCACACTTACTGTAGCTCACACCCACTCACACCCAGTCACACACACACTCACACTTACTGTAGCTCACACCCACTCACACCCACTCTCACACACACTTTCTGAAGCTCACACCCACTCACACCCAGTCACACTCACACACACACTCACACTTACTGTAGCTCACACCCACTCACACCCAGTCACACACACACACTCACACTTACTGTAGCTCACACCCACTCACTCACACTCACACACACTCACAATTACTGTAGCTCACACCCACTCACTCACACTCAGACACACTTACACTTACTGTAGCTCACACCCACTCACCCACTCACACGCACTCACACCCAGTCACACCCACTCATACTCACACACTCACATAGTCACACTTACGGAAGCTCACACCCATTCACACTCACTCACACCCACTCACACCCACTCACACTTACTGTAGCTCACGCACACTCACAATCACACACACCCACTCACAATTACTGTAGCTCACGCCCACTCACACACACTCACACCCATTCACACTCACTCACACATTCACACACTCACATACTCATACACAGTCACACTTTCTGTAGCTGACAACCTATCAAACTGACTCACACCACTCACATTCACTCACACTCAGTCACACACACGCACACTCACTCACTCGCACACTCACTCGCGCATTCACTCACACTTACACTCACTCACTCAAAAGTACTATAGCTCACACCCACTCACACACGCACACTTACTGTAGCTCACACACACTCACAAACTCACACTTACTGTTGCTCACACACACTCACATCCACTCTCACTCGCTCACACTTACTCTAGCTCACACCCACTCACACCCACTCTCACTCACACACACCCACTCACTCACACTTACTGTAGCTCACACACTCACACTTACTGTAGCTCTCACCAACTCACACCCATTCACACTTACAGTAGCTCACAACCACTCACACACACTCACGCCCACTCACTCATTCACACCCACTCACTCACTCACACTTACTGTAGCTCACCCCATTCACAATCAATCACACTCACCTACTAACAACTCACTACACTCACAACCACTCACACTGACTCACACCGAATCATGCACTCACTCACACACCCACTTACTGTACCTCACACCTACTCACACTCACACACACACTCTCACACACACACAGTCACACTTATTATAGCTGTCTGACAGGTATGAAATATTGGCAACTTGTGTGGACAAGGAAGTCTGCGAGGAAGACGGGCAAACTGACCCCAACACTCCTGTGCAGGAGGTTAGAAATGTAATTCTTATTGGGGGTGAGACAGTCGGGAGGACTGATGCAGTTTTCTGTAGCCGTAGCGGGGAGACAAGAAGACTCTGTTGTCTTCCTGGGGCCGGGGTGAAGGATGGCACCGCCGGGCTGGAGATAAATTTGAGGCATGAGGGAGAGGATCCAATCGTAACAGTACATATAGGGACAAATGACATTGGTAGGACCAGTCGGGATGAGTTAAGGAGCGAGTTCCGGGAATTGGGAATTAAACTAAGGAACAGAACTTCCAAAGTGATGATATCGGGACTGTTACCTGAGTCAGGAGCTAATTGGTACAGGCAAAAGAAGATCATAGATCTGAATGCCGGGCTAAGAGTGGTGCGGAGGGCAGGAATTCCAATTCATGGGCCACTGGCACGAGTATTGGGGAAGATGGGAGCTTTTCCAAAGGAATGGGCTCCACCTAAATAGGGCTGGGACAAATGTCCTGGCTACGCGAATAAATAGGGAGGTAGAAAGGGCTTTAAACTACTAAGGGGTGGGGGGAGAGGTAAAAACATAGTAAAGTATAGTCCACCACAGCTACACTTGAGATCAACAAAAGCAAGAGAGCAGATTAACAAGGGAGAGGAGCAAAGTGCGTCAAGCCGGGAAAGGAGTACAGTGATAGAGTGCTGGTGAATAGGGTTAATAGCCGGAAGTCAGAATTAAGGGCGCTATATCTGAATGCACAAAGCATTCGTAACAAGATAGATGAATTAGTTGCACAAATAGAGACAAACCGGTATGATCTGGTAGCCATCACCGAGACATGGTTACAGGGTGATCAGGGATGGGAACTGAATATTCCCGGCTACGTGGTATATAGGAAAGATAGGCGATGTGGTAAACGAGGAGGGGGAGTGGCCCTGCTAATAAAGGATGGGATAAAAACAGTAGAGAGGAAAGATTTTAAATCTGAAAAGCAAGATGTAGAGTCAGTATGGGTAGAGATACGTAACTTCAAGGGGCAGAAAACTATAGTGGGAGTAGTTTATAGACCCCCAAACAGTGGTCAAAGTATCGCTCAAGGTATAAATCAAGAGATTAGTGGAGCAAAGGAAAGACACTAATTGTGGGTGATTTTAACCTGCACATAGACTGGGACAACCAAATTGGGAAAGGTAACATAGAAGAGGAGTTTATAGAATGTATTAGAGATAATTTTCTAGATCAATATGCTGAGGAGCCGACCAGGGAACAAGCCATATTAGACCTTGTTTTGTGTAATGAAACAGGGCTGATCAGCAAACTGGAACTTAAGGCTCCTCTCGGGCAAAGCGATCATAATATGATGGAATTTAGCGTTAAGTTAGAGAGGGAAGTAGTTAAGTCTGAAGCAAAAGTCTTCAATTTAAATCGAGCCAACTTTGCTGGTATGAGAGAGGATTTAGCCAGAATAAACTGGGAGACTAAACTTAAAGATTTGACGGTAGACCAGCAATGGCAGACATTCAAGGAGATAGTGCAAAATTCACAACGAGCACATATTCCTTTGAGGAATAAGAATGCCATGGGAAAGGTGGTGCAGCCATGGCTAACTAGAGCAGTTAGGGAAAGTATCAAATCAAAAGAAAAAGCCTATAAAACAGCGAAGATGAGTAGTAAACCCGAGGATTGGGAGAACTTTAGGGAACAACAGAGGAGGACCAAAAAATTGATCAAGAGGGAGAAAATAGATTACGAGGGCAAACTAGCAAAGAACATAAAAACAGACTCCAAGAGTTTTTACAAATATATAAAGAGGAAAAGGCTAGCGAGGGTGAATGTGGGTCCATTACAGGCAGAGACCGGAGGAATTATAATAGGGGACAAAGACATGGCAGAGTCATTAAACAAGTATTTTTCTACAGTCTTCACCGTAGAAGACACTGGAAACATACCAAAAATAGAGGACCAAGAAGACAATGTTAGCGAGCAACTTAGGGAGATTAACATTAGTAAAGAGATGGTTCTAGGTAAATTGTCGGGTCTTAAAACCGATAAATCCCCTGGACATGGCCTGCATCCGAGAGTTTTAAAGGAGGTGGCTACTGAGATAGTGGATGGCATGTCTATAATCTTCCAAAAGTCTGTGGATACTGGAAAAGTTCCCATTGATTGGAAGATTGCAAACGTAACTCCACTATTTAAGAAGGGTGGGAGAGAAAATAGGGAAAACTATAGACCAGTTAGTTTGACGTCAGTTGTAGGGAAAATTCTTGAGTCCTTAATAAAAGACGTAGTTATGGGATACCTGGAAGACCATAAAAAGATTAGGCAGAGTCAACATGGCTTTACAAAAGGGAAGTCATGCTTGACTAACCTTTTAGAATTTTTTGAGGATGTATCCAGCAGGTTGGATAAGGGGGAACCAGTAGATGTGGTATATTTGGATTTTAGGAAGGCATTTGACAAGGTGCCACACAAAAGGCTGTTACTCAAGATCAAGGCCCACGGGATTAATGGGAAAATATTAACATGGATAGAAGAGTGGCTATCGGGTAGAAAGCAGAGAGTAGTGATAAACGGATCATTCTCGAATTGGCAGGAGATGTAACTAGTGGAGTGCCACAAGGATCAGTGCTGGGCCTCAGCTATTTACCATTTACATCAATGATCTGGACGAGGACATTGAATGTACCGTATCTAAATTCGCAGATGACACTGAACTCGGTGGGAGAGTGAGCTCTCAGGATGATGCAAAAAGATTGCAACGGGATATAGATAGGCGCGGGGAGTGGGCGAGGAGTTGGCAGATGGAATTCAATGTTAGCAAGTGTGAAATTGTTCACCTCGGCAGCAAGAATAAAAGAACAGATTATTTTCTGGAAGGGGAGAAGTTAGACAGTGTGAGTATTCAAAGGGATTTGGGTGTCCATATACACCAGCCCCAAAAAGTTAGTTTGCAGGTGCAGCAGCAACTGAGAAGGCGAACGGCAGTGAGTGTTCATTTTGAAAGGTTTAGAATATAAGAGTAGGAAGTCTCACTGCAACTGTATAGGGCTTTGGTGAGACCGCACCGAGAGGATTGTGTGCAGTTTTGGTCCTTATTTATAAAAGGACATAATTGCCCTCGAGGGGGTACAGCGTAGATTCACTCGGTTAGTTCCTGGGATGAGGGGACTGACCTATGAGGAGAGGCTGAATAAACGAGGACTGTATTCTCTATAGAGTACAGAAGAATTAGGGGCGATCTTATTGAGACATATAAGATTCTTAAAGGGCTGATAAAGTAGACACAGAGGGACTGTTTCCCCCAATAGGAGAATCTATAACCGGGGTCACAGCCTGAAAATTGAGGGTCAGCCTTTGAGAACAGAGTTGAGGAAACATTTCTTCACTCAGAGGGCGGTGAGTTTATGGAGTTCACTCCCCCAGAAGGGCTGTAGATGTCAGTCCTCAAACATCTTCAAGGCTGAAACTGATAGATTCCTGAACAATAGAGGGATTGGGGGATATGGGGGATATGGGGATATGGGGATATGGGGGATATGGGGATATGGGGGATATGGGGATATGGGGATATGGGGGATATGGGGATATGGGGGATATGGGGGATATGGGGATATGGGGGATATGGGGGATATGGGGATATGGGGATATGGGGGATATGGGGATATGGGGATATGGGGGATATGGGGATATGGGGATATGGGGG